ATTCTCAAGGAGTTAAGTTTTTCTTTCGTTGAATACAAACTCAGTTCCCACACACCCATTTACTATTAAACTGATTTCCGAAAAGAATTAAGCTTCCGAAACCAAAAACCATAGGTTTCTTCGGGAGGCTATTATTCCATAACCAGAAGAGCTACAGAATCATAAAGCTTGCACTTTAAAAGTCAAAAATGCGTGATTATATTTACTTAGAGCACGAAAATTGTTTAATATTAATAATGAGTTTACGCTCAATTCATTCGTCAAAAGTACAGAAAACACGCCATGTCTATCATATATTAAAATCAGCAACCGACTACTAATACTAAGTCATTTATTAGCCGATTAATATGTTTAAGACCATTTATAGCCGGTTAATTTGTTTAAGTCTGGCTTAGTCTGTTAAACCATTTATTAGCCGGCTAAGCTGTTTAAGTCAATTTAATGAACTATTGGGGAAACGTCTTGTTGGGGAAAATAGTTTTCGGGAATCGTGCCAGACCCCTCGGGAGGGTGGTAGTTGTAATTACACATATTACAACATCAATAATAACATTTATTATTATTATATAGAAAAAAAAAATTTAATCACCATAATCAGCGGCGGAGTTCATCCATTTTTCTTTTGGATGATAGGATTTTTCTGATCAGCACAAAATCCAATTCGTGTTAACCATACATCAAATATGTTTATAACGCGTACTTTCCTACCTTCTATCATGAAGTCAGTATAGATAACATAACCAAGGACTGATTTAAGTTGGCTATCCTATCTTAACATCCGCCTGTGAATAGAAAAGTCATTCATGACACCAGATTGTCAGCTTCCTTCGTTTAATCATTTTTGCTTTATAAAATTAGAATCACTAAAGATAAAAATCTCCTTTTACCTAATATGACAAGAATTAACATGCTTTTGAATGCTTGAGGACTTCCTGATAAGCCCAAATAACTTTATACAAGAAAAACTGTTAAACATGTTTCTTTTTTTAAGTCGGGTGTTTTGTTTGTTTGTTATATATAAAAAAAGATCAGCTCCCACAACAACTCACTACACATCATAAAGAGACAATATTAATTTAAAGTAAAGAATAAAAAAAATGAATCAATTACAAGACTATAACAAAAGGAACAGAAAATAGAGCGGGAAAGGAGCAAATATTATTATAGAACTAGACCAAGAGAAAAGGTACTGTTTGGAATGATATATATATATATATATATAATTCTTTTTTTTTGCAAATTTCAGGAGTGACTAAAAATTTATTACAAATATGTCAAGGTCAAATAAGCATCATATCACTGATTGAATTTTTGACTTTTAATTTTTAATTAAATATTATAAATATTATCCAGTTAATTAATTCATATAATAAAAAGTGATATTTAAAGATTCTCAAAGAGAATGAATATTTTAAAATTAGCAACCTCCATCCTCAACGATAATCCCTTCACCATCATCACCACCATCATCATCACCGCCTTTGTTATTCTTTTTAGATTTTCTATAGAATCTTTGATCTTCAGGATTAAATCCTGCCTCTTTAGATCCAAATATCGCCCATTCTGGTGTTGGTGCAATATAGTCAATACTGGTAAATTCTTTTCCTTTCTCTATCAATTCAAAAAATTTATCATAATTAATCCATGTATGCCATCTTCCATTTATCTTGAATTTGGTGTTTGCAATAAGAATTGAACATGAATGTGAATGTTCTGCTGCTATCTCATATATATTTCCTAATTTTTGACTAATTTTTTCTACAAATTCAATCACCTCCTTATGATAAGGCACCTAAATATTTATATTAATTATTAATTGATTTGTTTACTATTTAATTTTTTAAAGTAATAATTAATTAATTAATTAATTAGAGCATACATTTGCCATTGTAAGATTACTCGATCCACTATATCCACAATATGTGACTCCCTTCACCTCAATGAAATCTGGTCTTCCTCTCTCAATTAATTCTATATAATTCTCAATTCCTTCTGTATTATAATCTTTTACCAATGTCAATCTATATACTATTTATTTATAAACTTTTTTTGTTATTATCAAACATCATTAATCAAACATACATTTCTTTCTGATCAATGCTCATAATTAATAATTTACTAGTTTAATTATATCTACCTGTTCTCTGACCCTTTCTACTTAATTCATCTAAACTATCCAAAAATCTTTCCCAAAAATCTTTAAATAATGGTCTATCTATTTTTTTTAAACTTTCTTTGGTACTGGCATCCACACTAACATAAAGTTGTGTAACAGGTTTCAATTCTGCAATCTTATCTGGAAACTGTGCATTTGTAACTAAAAACGATGAGATGTGTTTTCCATGTAGCAATTCAATAAATTCGTTGATATATGGATACTATATTTGGAAACACAAATAAATAAATAACAAATAAACATGTAATAATAACAATAACAACATGTGTGATTGCATGATGATTAATTTATTATTGACAAAATCTTACGAAAATTGGTTCACCAACTAATGATAATGCACAATGTTGAATCTTAAATGCTTCTTGAAATCTATCTGCACGTACACCAGGTACTCCTTTCATTTGTTTAATCATCTGATAATGATTTGCCATTGCCCCTTCAAAAATCATCTGTGGCTCATCCACCTTCCATCTCCATTCTGTTCCAACTGGATTTGTATGATGTCTCCAACTTATAATAATAAGGAATGAATAAGTGAATGAAATGAATAGTTATGTAAAATTAATATAATTAGTTAATTAGTTATCATATATATTTAATTGGTTATATAACATATATATTTATATTTATGTTTACCAAAATACACATTTATTTGCGCAAGCTAAAGATGGTGTAGTTTCCATGCAAAGATGACTTTTTTTTTGTAATTAAAAATATTATTTCCATGTTATCTATATTTATAAATCACATGCACATTCATATATATTTATATAGAAATAGCAATGATCCTTAAGATACCTTTGAATTCCATAAAAACTATTTTTATAGCAAAATCCTCTTCCTCTTAAAGCAGCTTTAGTCCATCTGCAAATTTTTACACCCTGCATCCAAGAATTTTATTTTTATTATTATTGTAATTATAATTGTATTGATAATTGCAGTTAACATACCGAATGCGTTCCAACTATTTTGTATCCTTGTTTAGTTAATGATTTATGAAGCATTGGGCTGACCATTTCTCTAACTTCTTTAACTACTTTTTTTTGTGCTATCATTGAATATATATGCAAGTATTAATGAAATGTAGATAATTTATTTTGTTTTTAATTTTAACCTACCTTTAATATCATCAGAATTATATGAAATATTTTGAACATCTTTTGATTTACGTGCAGCTTTTATTTGTGGTGCCAATTTACCCATGTCTTCCACATCAATAAGTTCTGATTCTGTTTTAATTTTTTTCTTATTATTAATTCTTGAATTGCCGTCATCATTGTCTTCAGCATCATCCTCTGTTTGACTATCTGAATCAACATAATCTTGATTAGAAGTAAAGTATGATGAGTCCAGCAATGACTCCACCATTGATATTTTCCATTCTTCAAAACTTTTTTCTTGATCTATGGGTGTGTTATAATATATGATAAAAATAATAATTTATTTATTTATTTCATTATAATAATATATAAAACTGTTATCATTATATTGTTATAAGAAAATAAAATAATTAATGCCTGAATTTTTATCCCCTTCTCCCAAAGGATACAATCTTTTTGCACCTAATTGACCCAACCATTTATCAATATTTCTAGGTTGTGTACAAAACTGATCGTCACCATATGCTGAATCACCAAGTCCAAATACTGTATATTTCATGTTAGATAATGATTGCTTACTCACTCTAAAATCGTATCTGGTATCCTCCAACCATTTAACAAACCAATCAAGTGGTCCCTCAACATTATAAGTCGAAATAATAAGAATACATATTGCACTTTCACTCAAAAAATCATCTGTATCATAATCAACTATATCCAATATCGTGATATTATTGCTACTAAATTTGGATTCTGATGAAAATTCTTGGTATAGTTTTCGTGCAAATAGTTTTGATGTACCAGTTTGTGTTGAATAAAATATTTTTATTTCATTTTTTTCTTCTTCTTCTAATAATAATGTTGTTGAAGTTATAGCATCAGTAGTTTTTATAGTGTTTTTATCTAGGTTGATTTGTTGAAAATTTTTTGATTCCTTGTTGGAATGATTGTTTGATGTATCATGATACTTATCATTAATATTTTTGTCACCGCTAAGATTGATAATATTAATACTATTGTTATTATTAATCTTTGCACTTCTTATCCCTAATGTAATTAAAATCATGAGCGAAAAAACAATCAAGAAGTACATGCTATTATTAATATTCAAAAACTCTTGAAAAAGATAGGTTATAAACGCCATTTCTTTTGCAAGCAAATTTTGCAAATTAAAAATTAAAATTAGATGAAATCTGAATTTATATATATATATATATCACATGATATTGTAAAATCGTGTTTTTATTATTATTATTATGCAAAAAGCATCTTCTTATAATGTACGTAAATAGATTTGTTGAAGAAGATTCTAACTATTGTAAATATTATAGATTCTTTTTTTATTTTAAATTTTAAATTATATTATTTACACATAAGTTTCTTCTCATAATAATAACAACAATAACAAAGCATCAAAACCACCACGACCACTTTCATTCAAAACCAACAATGACGATAATGATGATATTAACAGCAATAGTAATTACAAATACCCATCTAGAAAACAAAATTTCATCAAGATTGACATACAAATTCTTACAATTGAAAATACCAAAGGAAATATTTACAAAAGTCAAAATTCCTCAAGACAACACTCTATAGCTTTCCTAGTCAAATATGAGAGATCAGAAATAGTAATTTGTTTATGTGGATTTAAATACGAAATAATCATACCTTTTAGTGAATTGAATGGTTTTAAAATTGAAAAGTCAGGAAAAATTGAAATGAAATTGAAAAATAATTATGAAAAATGGGTAAATAATCTTTTTAATTCCATATATATATTGACAATTAATATAATAATTTTATCACAAATTCATATATGCATGTATTATATAAAGGTTTATTATCATAATAAAGGATTTCCATTTTTAGATCCACCAGTATTATCAAAAGTTGATCCAACAAAAGGATTATTAAATGATGCAATTAGATTTGAATTAATACCTAAATCATGGGAACATGAAAGTACATTAGCAGTTATTGAAGCTGGAATTAGTAGAATCTGTTTTTTAGAAACCGGAAAAATAAATGAATGTACTAAAGAACAAGTTGATGCTGAGGTATTTAAATGTATATTATATATATATATATATATTATATATATAATGAATATGATTATGACTATTTTTTTTAATGATAGGCTGAACCACGTTACATAATTTCTGAAGGAGAGGTTGATATTTTAATTTCATTCATAAAATTTAATTATTATTATTTATTTCTTTATTAATCAGAAAATTATCTTCTTCCACTTCAATTAGATTTCATTGGTTTGTTATTTTTCTGGAATATCTAAACATTTACCATTCCCTTCTGATGGAAGATTTGCTGACTTGATTTCAAAGATTAAACAAACATTTGATTTGGATATAAATATGTTTGAATATCTTGATTATTTAACACAAGAACAAATCACTGTTCTTGATGAGGAGGATTGGGAAGTTGCTAAATCAAATGCATTTCATATTCAAGGAACTCATGCAAAAACTTTGAAATTATATTTTAATCAATATTATAATAATGGCGGTAACAATATTACTGATAATGATTATTAATAGAAAATATATATTTATATCAATCAATATATACAGCATATATATGGCAGCATATAATATATAAAATACTTGGAAACAGAGTTGGTAATGGGAAATGTGAAACAATTGGGACAGAAATTTGATTTAATGGATAAATCTTAATTGAACAACTTTTTAATTTCAATAAAAAATCTGTTTTTAATATAATGATGATAAATCTATTATAGATCTTGGGAGGTGTTGATCTAAAAGTCTATATCATCATTATCAACATCCTTCCTTATTGGTGTAGCCAATATTATTGTCTATTTACATTTGCTTTTTTCAATATAACTGTAATTATAAAATATTATATATTTATTATTTTATTTTGTGTTAATATATTATATTCCAATATATTATTAATAAAGTGGATTGAATAGCATCTGTTCAAATCATAGTTGACTAATCCATAATCTTCTAAAAAAATTTTTAAAGGAATAAAGAAATGAAATCTAATTTTTCTCACTCTTATATTTTTTATATAATTAATTTGAACGATTTGAATGGATGTAAGGAATTGATTGATTTTGGATGAATGACAAAAAAAAAATTAAAAAATAAGTTATGATTATATTATAACTTATATTTTACTTGATTCAGAAAATAATTTTTTCTATCATTGATTATGTAAAGGTTTTGTCATTTTTTTTCTTTGAGGGAGGAAGGGAAGGAGGAAAGAAACTGATCCACCTTTGAAATTATATAAAAAAAAAGGTATACATGAAAAAATTATCTTAATATTAATTAATGTTTAAATATTAAATATTAAATATTAAAAAATTTACCTTTAACAATACTTTCATCAATTCCATAAAATATAAATATATATTTTTTTTTTAAATATATATTTAAATAATTTTATCAAAATTATAAAATAATCAATTCATTCTAATATTTGCACTCATTATCAAATCAATTTATAAAGATCTTGTACTCCAACAACATCAACTCCTCTTGCTCTTGCTTTAACACGAAGATTTCTATCGTTTGTCACCAACACAACGATCTCACTATTATTGTTACCAGTACCATTATTACTATCAAATAATGATTTTCTGTCAATATTTGTGGAATGCCATAAACAGATTCCTAATATAAGATCATCCAGGTTTCTTTTCTTGTCTTCTCCATCACCAAAATCAAACTCTTCACTAAAATCTATACTTGTTAAATAATTTCCTTTGCTTGTTTGCACTTTAAGTTTTTTTGAATTATTGTTGTTGTTGTTGTTTGATAATGTTACTTGTAAGTATGTTAGTGCTTCCGCTGCTGCTTTACCAAGTGGTGATGAATTATATTTTAAACCATCCAATTCCGTGACAACTATTATATAAATATGAGCATTAATATATATCATGAAAATAATTTAAAGAAATTTAAATGATATATTTACCAACTAAAGGTACTACCACAGTCCAATTATCACTTTGGATTATTTTTTTAACCAAATTTAAATCACCCACAAGACAATTAGTATCAACCACAAGTGTAGTAAAACCAGGCACAATTTTAGAAAGCAATGATGAAGCTGATTTTTTTTGGGTAGTGCTTTTTTGTTGTTGTGAATTGTTGAGAGTGCCCTTATATTTAGTAGCTAACATATTTTCTAATTCTTGACGACGAGTCTATATATATTAATTAATAGAAAAATACATATAATTAATAACAACAGCAAACATAATCTTAATATTAAGACACATTATTGTAATTAATCACCTTTAACTCTTTTATTTCATCATCCCCCTCATCGCTAAGCTTATTATTTACTTCTTCAAACCAATCAAAAGACTTCCTTGGTCCATTTGACTGATTTTGATCATCACAGAACTCTTTTGTAGCCTCATGACCATTATCTCCTATAGTATTCAAATCTTTTAACTCTTGTAAAATATTGCTATTGCTATTGTTATTGTTATTGTTGTTATTATTATTTTGATCTTCAATTAATTCTGGTGATGATTTAAAAGAATCAGTCATAACATCAAACTCAAATCCATTGATTTTCTATTAATTAATATATAATTTAAAATATTATTATATATTTTTTCCTCCTTCACATAAAACAAATTTGCTTACTTTAGTTAACAGGAAACCCAATTCCACAATTCTTGTTCTTCTACGAGATTTACTATCTGGATCCAATTCCAAACTATGATTAATATTATAAATGTAATAGATAATATCCTCAACATCAGAATTTGCAAATTTGTAATTGGACCTGATGGAGCTTTCAAATGAATATGATTCATATAATGTTTGTAACCAAGAAATTCCACGTAATTCCCAATCTTCAGATAATGGTGGAGGCAACAATTTATTAATTTTGTTATCATTAATGATGGAATCATCATCACTGTCATCATTTTTAGAAATATTATTTAATATATCATCTCTAGTAAAGGGCGAAACTTGGTTTACAATTCTTGTAAGAAATGTTGAAAATGTATCCCAGAAATTAGGACATATGGATTTTCCAATTAAATTTTCCCATATACTTTTGTTGGTTTCTTTCTCATAATAATCATAACCATAATCATTATCAATGTTATGATTATTAAAATTATTGAAAGCGTCACTAGAAATCATCCATAACATTATAACTTCGCAATAAATAAGCCATCCTTCTGTCAATTCATTGTTATAATTACCATTACTTTTTGGAACCAATTCAAAATCAAGATATTTTGTCATGAATTGTTTCATAATATTAAAAGTAAGTTTCACCTCTTCAGAAAATGCTGGATCAACACTTAGACAATCATCGATATTTGCAGAACTTTGTTGTAATCTTAATGCCTTTCCCAATGATGAATTTTCATAATTTCCATAATTGTAAAGGCTTGAAATATTAATCACTGCCATAAACAAATAATATTCCAGGGGTTGATTTTCAATTGAGTGACCATCAACATTATTAATATTATTTTGATGAAAACTATTATTTTTTATAATTTTTTCTAGAAAAATGTTTAAAAAATCTTGAAAGTTCTCAAGTCCAATTTTGGTAAAAAGCATCCCATGAAGTCTTACAAAAATACTATCAATGCTTTGATTTGCTACTTGGTTAGTCTGACTGCTTGATTTCATGGTGGATTTATTATCATTATTGTTAATTTCTCTTTGTAAATAGCCACGGCGATTTTTTTTTAGATGTATGTTATTATTATTATTGCTATTGCCACCACTAGCATTATTGCCATTAATTGTGAATGTAGCAAAACATTTTCTATTGGCTTCAAATAAAGTGACAAGTGATTCACGAGCAGTCATAAAAGGAGTTTTCACAATAAGACTACGACAGTAATAATAAAGTGTTTTAAGTTCATTCTGGCCAGACAAAATGGCCAAATGATGATAAAATTTGCCATTATTGGAGTTCAATTGAATCCCCAGACGATACCATCTTGAGGATTTATCGGCCCAATAACTCTTGTTATGTTCATGATCCTCGAGTCCATATGTGAAACGATATCTAGTAATATCACCTAAGCAACTCACACATCTAATCCATTTTGGTGGTTTGTTCTTTTCACCTTTTTCGCAAGTTTTATTGATCTCATTTTGTTTTGATTCGTCAGCAATTTGCTTCAACAAATTCTTATAGAAAATTTCTGCTTCGTTCAAAAATATTGAAAATTGATTAATTGCAACATCATTCAATAATGATGGGTTATTTCTACTATGACTATTATTTTCTTCTTTGATTGCATATCGAAATTGTTCAATCAGTAAATAAAATCCTAATTTCCAACATTTCATTTCAATTTCATTCTTGGCTGCAAATGAATAACTAAGTTGAATTATCTCAAAATATTTTCTTGCCAAACTATTCATGACAATTTTTATGTAAAGATATAAGTATGTGTGAATAAATATAATAGTTATACAATATTACAAATAATTACCTTAAATGCAAATAAATTTTTTGCTGCCAGTAATCTTCATCAAAATTATTATTAAAGGATTCTGATTTTCTATGGTTATTATTAACATTACTATTGCCATTAAAATTTGTTGAAGGATCAGTTATTTTTTTTTCCAACGGAGTGATTTCTCTTGTAAGAGATTTAAGAGCTTTGGCAATTATTTCAGTTTGTGAAGAAGTTTCTTTATGAGTTCCATTGCTTTTACTGGTTGTATTATTGATGTCAAAAGAGGTTCTTCTTGGAACTGAATAGTCATTTATACTACTTTTGGATCGAAGATGGCTATTTTGAAAAGGAGTATTTGTTTCAGATTTATTGAAAGAAGGAGTATTTGAAGTTATAGTAGTAGTACTAGTAGAAACCCCTCTATGTCTATCTGTTTGATAAGAGGAGGGTGATTGTTCTTGCCAAATATCTTTTGGTTTGTTGGCATAAGGATTAAACAATTTACGACCTGGTGGATTATTTCTACGAGCAGGAACAAAATCGTCTTCCTCGGGGTCAATAATATCCTTTCTTTGACTTTGACTACTATTGAGCATAGTGGACAATGTTGCAAATCAAATGTGACAAATCTTTTTTATGTTGTGAAACTTGCTATTTCAATTTTTAAAATAGGAAAAATGGAGTATAAGAAAAACTGGCGTAGCAAATATATATATTTCTGGATGAAGGTATCCATTATTTTTGTATTTACTGTTTGGTTAACTAAGATCATTCAGATCATTTCTAGATCAAAAGTTAGATATGAACCGGAGTTTGGAGTAAAGTCTACACGTATGCACAATTTATTTGAATTTAATTTTTTTATTCAAAGTTTATCAATCTAATTAATTCAAAAACTTTTTTTTTAAAGTCTAAAGCTATTATTTGTTCTTCATTTATATCTTCTTCCACCTCTTCATCTCCTGTTACATGGGATTCTTCTACTTCATTTAAGGAATCAGTCAAATTTTCCTTTTATTTATGTAAGAAGATATGTTGGAAATTACACCTTTATAAAATTTCAAGCAATAGATACATGTATAATTGTAAATCTTGTTCTAGTAAGTGAAATAAAGCTGCATTCACATTATGTGGTAAATGCAAATGAATGGAGAGTATATACAATTAAATTGATTTACTGCCTATTGAAGCATTGAATTTATAATTTATTATCATAATTATCATATATTTGCTTGTGTTATTAACTCTATTACTATTATTATTATTATATTTGTAGTTTATTGAAAGATAATATAACAGTCGATTTACAATAAGCAGACATAAGGTTTTTGGATAATATAATTATTGTTCATTTTATTGATATAATATTTTGATATACAGTAGAACCTGTCTAAAAGCATACTGTATATAAGCATAACCTGTCTAAAAGCATAGTAGAATGTTTTCGGCCTGAGTTGGGCCATATGTGTTATAAGCATACTGCATATTGTATATAAGTATAAAAAAATTCTAAATATATGAACATAAGCATAATCACGTGTATCAACAAAATTTCTGTCACGTTATTTTTTAAAAAATTGATCAGGCCTTTTTGGGAATAACTAAATATTTACAATTGCTTGCTTAAAGTGTAAAAGAATGGATAATTTTTTTTTTATAAATATGTATATTCAACAATAAATGTGTTAGCTGATTTTATTTAAAGAAAAAAAAATCATGAATTTTGTGACATCATAAACATATAAATGCAAAACTTGCTTTTAAGAATAACCTGCTTAATATTAATAACATAGGATTTTCTTGGCCTGTCAGTAATTAAAAAAATTTATATAGTGATAGAAATTCAACATCAAAATATTCTAGTTGATATTACTGTAATAATACCACTACTATAATAATAAATTAAATACAAAAAAAACGGATCTATACAATCAGAAAGAATTGTAATGCAACTATTATTATTATTATTTGATATCAATAAAACAACAAATAAACAAAAATAATAAATAAATAGCTTTTATTGCTTTCCCCAAGTGAAATAATTAATTTTATTACAAATATTGTGTTTTTCTACCCATAATCCCAAGCTTTAAAGTCATGTGACTGTCAAAAGTTGAAATTTTTAATGGCTGTGATTTTTTATTTTATAATAATAGTCAAACCAATCAAAATTAGCTTTTATGTGATAATTTGATAAAAATTTGGCTAATAGTGTCCGCTATGCTGTAATGTTGGAAGAATTGAAATTATGGTCAATCTTTTATCACGTGATAACGGCAAAGGAAAAAAACAGAGAACTATATTATGAATAAAATTTTCCTTTTTTCTAATATAATTGGTATATTAATTGTTACATCTTAATTATCAATATGTATATATTATCTGAATAAAATTTCGCACTTGAAAATCTTCACAAACACATGACAATAAAATTTTTTTTCAAAAAACTGTCGTTGTGGCGCAGAAAGTTAAAGGGACTAGGTGTCTTGCACTATACAAATTTAAGTTTTTTACAAAATTCTAAATTTTTTTTTAAACAGTACCAGGAATTAGCATTGACAATGTTTCTAATATTCACCCAGAAATTCCTGAAAGGTTTTGTTCTGTTATAATCAATGGAAAAATTTATTTTGCTGAGATTATTGCCATGTATAAAAAAGTTTCAACAATGCATGGCTTTGTGAGTGATCCAGTAGAAAATATAGATACACTTTCCTATATCTCAACATGAATTTGGCTTCACTTATGTATGATGCAATTTATTTTGTTCATTTAATGACCAAGGTTATCAGATTTTTCCACATACGAGGGCTTTTTAATGGAAGGACCATGTTGTGAAAATGATGTTTTGAGAAAATCAAAAAAAGATTTGCATTTAAGAAGTTTACTATTGGTTTTGAAATTTTAAAGAAAAGTATCTCAATATTTTACTATGCAGAGTGGGTATGGTTTCTAAGCCAAAAATGTTTTATGTGAAGAGTCACATATAACAATGGTATTAACTCAAAATTGCATTTTTCACAACATGGTCCATTTCTATTGAAAGCCCCAAGTAATTCATTTACTATGTATGCTACAGGAGATCTGATATTAATTATCAAAGTAGTTCTCAATTAATTACACTGCATTCTGAAATTTGGGTATGTATGTATTTTTAAGTGAAGAAAACACCATTAAAACTTTACTTCAATATATTGATTAAATAAGAATGCTTTTTATTTGGTTATAAAAGTAAATAAAATTTGATTAACTGGCATGTAAAAAAAATGGGTAAATTGTTAATTTTAAATATACTACAGTGTAAAAATGGGATAAAATTTAAAATCTTAACTGGGTAGATTTAATATGGGGCATGCTGCAACAAAACCAGACAAAATGAATATTATATTGTGAGGATGGAGGCTTTGCAGTTGGTGAATGTATCATTTTGCATGAATGATCCTTAAGCTCTTTCCAATAGTTTATGATTCTTATCTATTTAGGATTTGTTTTAAGTTAGCTAGGAGCAATAATGCTTTATAATCAAGAAAGCTATGAAAATCTTTACCTTAAATTTTAATATGTTTTCCATAATTTTTGATATTCTGAGGATACATTCATCAGATGATGTTAATATTAGCCCATCAAAATCACAAACAACATTCAGACTATCTATTTCACTCATGGATAAAAAAAAGAGTTTTTTCCTGGTATAGATGCTGGTCACAATTCTTGGTGATGGTTGCAACCATATTTGCGACATATAAAAATGGTTTGCGACACCTGGTTGCAACCACCTTTGTGACCACTTTGGTTTCCTTTTTTGGATTGCGACATGGAACACTATTTCCTGGTAAAATAATAAAGTCAATTTATAACTCTTTGATGATGAAAAAACAACCACAGAAACTCGCTGTACTCACCATGCACCAAAATACCAAAAGATTGTAGCATTAGTGGACTTCCATTGTATATTAAATACTCTTTTTGATTCCATATTGATAATGAAATTGCTATAACAACCAATGAAGAAGTACAATTGGTAACCATTTTATTTGGATAAAAATGGCAGGAAAATAACAGACACACCTTTTAATAATTTTTATAATCAGTATTCTTGTCAGATACATCTTCATTGAATGCATTTCCAGTAACTTCAATGAATCTGATTGAAAAGTTTTGCCCATGAAGTAATACATAAATGATACCGTCATGTTTATATCCAATTTTTGAGCATTCATTATTCTCTTTATCTTCATTTCATTGCAGTTTCTTTATTTTATTTTCAAGTTCTCCTCTAAATCAAACATTAGTAAAAATTCAGATTCACTTAATTTAAGATGATACATATTATTTAATAAATTACTGCAAGCGTGCAATCTGAGTTTCCTAATTAATAGGTTATTTATAGCTTAACACACAGCCTACCTTCTGACTTATGGTCAAAGATTAATAAAAATAACTTTTATCCTCCTGGATAAAAAGGTCCCTAGGTTCTATATATACAATTATATCCCAAAGGCGTCCCCTTGAGATGTGCCTTAATAATTAAAATATTGATTGCTTGCTATGTGTAGCAAAGGTTTCCCCTTGTAGGTTATTAATTAATTAGAGATTAAGGTTTTTGGGTAAAATATGTTATGTGTTTTATTAGTGATAATAATATTATTACAAATGTGTTAGGAAGTATTAATTATTAGATCAATAATTAAAGATTGTTATATGAACATGATTATTCTGACTTGGTCTAAAACCAAGTCTTTTTATACCACTTGGGGTATTACAAATAACATGAATTTTACTCTATTTTGTCCAATAAAATATGCTTATTAATGTAAAATAAATATTTGGGTCAACTGAACATTACAGAATAATAATTAATAATTCAAAGTAAATATCTGCATCAGCTGAATAAGTTCTTGAAATATAAATATAGAAATATGAATATGAATAATTGTATGTGTGATGATACTGTGCACTATGTGGCGCAGTAGTTTCACAAAATATAATATTAAAAATAAAAATAGAAATGGGGTCTGGGTCACTTTACTGACAATCTAAGTAAAGTCAAACTTGATGTAGAAATGGTCTTGCAAGGAACACCATGACCCCCATGGAAACCACAAGATTGTAATTGTGAAATATGAATTCAAACAGTATTAAATGACTGTAACATTAGATCAACTATAAAGTTTCTTCAGGGCATTGCCCATAATATTTCATTTTAAAAATTTTTTTTGTTATTTTTTTAAAAAAATTTTTTTTATATATATGGGGCATACTGCAACAAAACCAGACAAAGTGAACATTGGTATTACCAAAGATTTCAGGGATCGATAGTGTTTGTTTAACATTGTGAGATCATGTCCAAATCTCACAGTTATAATTTATTTATTTATACAAATACAACAATTTATACAATTTTACAAATACAAATACAATTTTTACTATAATTTCTAATTCAATTCCGATTGCAATCTTTCAATAATTAATTTATCCCTAGCTAGGTTTCAAGCCTTACTAGAATAGCTCAAACTGTCTATTCTATGCTTTAACTTCAGGAATTACTAGAATAGCTCCCACTGTCTATTCTATACCACTAACTATCTTTAATAGTTAATTTACAATTTCAAACACAATTGCAATTTATAATTTCGTCCAAACAGTTTTTACCAGTACTGTCTGGCCTGTTTGCGACCATACAAAAATAAAGATAAAATTATATACAACTATTCTTATCAAAGGCGTCCCCTTGGTAAGATAGTAATTAGTTAAATTAATTAAATAAGGTTAAAGACAGTTTGTTATTTATTAAATGGTTTGAATGCCTCAGCAAAGTTTTTAGCATCTTTTTCCCATTTTTCAATAACTTCAATAGCAACTTCAACTGGTTTATCTTCATTTTCATTTATTAACT